GTTCGATGTACGTTTTCAAACGAAAGTGCGGAAGTCCAATTTGTCATGTTTTACTGACTGTACAAAACACCCATCGGCAGTTGCTCTTATTCATGGCAACAGACAATTTATTGGATTTTTACACAAACAAAACTCAGCAGCATCTACAGAGAAATTTTATTATCACTTATTGGGCCTTGATAAAACATCAAGCGTTGCTTACAATTCAGGCGAAATTCAAACTTGCAATTATTATTTTATTTTTTTTTTTTTACTCTTCGGTCGAGATAGACTCCGGCGAAATCTTCGCAAGTGTGTGGCAAGAGGAGGGAAACTTTGAAGTCCTGAAACGCTGCTATACCCAAATATATCCAACTAGTTTTTTGCCGTGTTTTGGAAAAGCTATCAATCTTCAACATATGTGAAACTTAGAGTGGAGTAATGCAGAGCCCTTGTAAAAGAAGCTGGGGAACACAACTTGGTCAGTGATATAAAGCGGCATATAACTAAATTCGACAATGTCTTCCTTCACTTAAACTGGAGCAGCTTATGACGAAAATACTGAAGTAAACTTCCGACAGACATGAACGTATTGATTTGTGGGCCAAAAGCATCAAACATTTCGGGAATTTCAAATGTCATTTCCCCGCGCTACATCCGCAAAAATCCTCGAAGCATTGTACACGCGTGTGTCGCACATGATGGCGCAATTTGTTCTAAAAATAGAAACATTGTTCCATATCATAGGGACAGCCCCAATACTAGAAATGGCGCGCGCTTACGGTCTCCGTCCCCGATTATGGCTCCTGCTTAAGAGGGATATCTCAAAGAAAAACGACAATATGGGGGACTAATTTTCTTAAGTTCCAGCTAAATGATCGCAACATTTCAGCGCAGCATATCTAAACATTTTTGGGAGCAACATGTTGCGTTCGTTTAGTCACCATGTTGCAACGAGCTGCAACATGTTTGGTGTTGCAAATCGTACAAATGCGCATGCCCTGGAGTAGCATCATTACACGAACCTGGCCAAACGAGTACAACATCATGCAACATCCAAAAATATTGCATGAAAAATTTGACCATTTTTAAACTTGAGCCAACAACACCCAACTTTTCGTAACACGTTACAACAGGGTGGCTAAAGTTGCGATATGTTATCGGGGCTACCCTTGATTTTTAATTTAATATAATTCATTTTCACAACACAAATTATAGGCCTTAAGAAAACATACAAGCGATAAACATACAAGGAATAAATTATATGTTATAAAATAAAAAAAAAAGAAGAAAAGCAGCGAGAAAATGATTATTTGGTTGTCTTGCCAAAAAACAAAATGCATGGCGCAATGGATGATGCTTACTAACTAATTAACTAACTACTGAACTTATTTCCGGAATTACAGATTCTTGTGCAACAGTCATTCCCAAGCATTCAAAAGGAGTACCTGGGATTTATGAACTTGAAATAAAGCATTCCAAATTTCAGGTCAGAGATATTAAAAAATAAAGGAAAAAATAAATGTATAACTGGATCATCGATAACTCAATCGTAAGGCAATTTTTTTTTTTTTTATTAGTATTTTAAGGACGTTCGCGCGAAAGTTTTCCAGTGGATAGATTCTTTTCCAATTTTTACTACAGACAGATAATGAGTTACTTGTCACGGAAAAGCCAATAAACATGGGGGTCACCGACTTCGTTTTAGAAATAAAGCGTGTAGAAAACTACCCTGATTTTAAAAAAAATTGGCGCACGTAATTGAGCATGGTCTACAGTGGTTTATAGTTAAAAATTTCGAAGGTGAGTCAAAGGAGACAAATGATCTTAGTCACATTTTGTAAAAGTGGTTCTGTTGCGTAAATACGTCCAATGTTACCAACGTTTTCACAAAGCTTAACCCTTTGAAACTGTCGCACAGACAAACAAAGAACTAAAAAGAACGGAATTCGACGGTGCATTTTCCAAAAAATTCAAACTTCTTGTCAATAGATTTTCTTTATTTTTTCGCTAAACATAGAAAATCGGTTGAGAAAATGATCCATCATAAGAAAAATAGGGGTCACCGAACTTTTGAGACCGTTAAATCCTGGAAAAGCTTTAGTAATGGCCATCCACCCTATCACTGTTCATTTTAGTACTTAGCGCGCGCGCTCATGCATAACGTGGCGTGTAAATTTGCGTGCGCAGTAAGGATGCGCAAAAACAATTAGCGCGAACGTCCTTAAACTACCAGTTTCAATAAACACCATTAGAAGATTATATATCACGCTATTTATGTCTTTGAACGTACTTTCAAAGTAACCTAAACAGAGCCAAAACTGCATTGTATCACCTTGAATATAACAACAACAACAACAATAACAACAACAATAACAACAACAATAACAAAACAACAACAATAACAATAACAACAACAACAATAACAACAACAACAATAAAAATAACAATAACAGTAACAGTAACAGTAACAGTAACTGTAACTGTAACTGTA